GGGGGGGGGGGGGGGGGGGGGGGGGGCAGGAGAGTGTACTTGTGTCTTTTGGCTGAGAGGTAAATAATAACAGCTATTATTAAAATATATTAACACTAAGATAATTTGGCAATCACAAACCTGCTCAAGAAGCATTCCAGTATGTGCTGTACCTTCAAAGTTAAGCCTGTGCTGGTTCATTTTGCTCAACAGAGGAAGAAGAGAAGAGAAAAGCTGAGGAGGAAGCAGCAGAACAAAGGCTAAGAGAAGAAGAAAAGCGAAGAGAACAAGAAAGACGAAGGCGCGAAGAAGAGGAAGAAGAGGAAAGGAGAAGAATGGAGGAGGAGAAAAATCGTCTAAATCAAGATCATGTTGATGCAGATGAGGGTGATGAAGAGGAAGACGAGGAGGAAGAAGAGGAAGAGGAAGAAACCATCATGGATCGACTAAGTCCCCAGAAAAAGCGTAAGTAATAACTTATGTTCACCTTGATGTAACACCATCCATTAGATTCTGAAAAGGTTTCACATTAGTTGTTTTCGGTAATACTTTAATTTATCAACCAAAGAAAGTGTATCTTGTTCTAAAAGTCCGCCATATGGTGCCTGAAGAACAGTGGAAAAACTCCCCAAAACGTCGCGTTTTAAAGACATTTTGACCTCAGAAGAGTCCTCTTTAGAACTAGATTTACTAATTATTTATTTTATATGTGAATATGAGAGGTTCTGAGAGTTTCAGAAAAAACTATTACTTCTAGTTGTCTCTGAAACTTTGGTCACTGAAGATTTTACATGGCTTTTCCAACAGAGGCAATTCTTGAGGGGCTGGCTAATGAGCTGCGCCGAATAGTTGAAGAGCGAGAAGCCAAGAGTGTGCCAGCTTCCCAGCAGGAACTTGACGAACTTGACCTCAAACTGCGCTCCCTTCGAACACAGCTGCGAAAAGCAGAGGAAAATTCTAATGTGCTTGCGAAGCAAAAGAAAGAACTCGAAGAGAAGATCAAGAAAAATACAAATGATGTAAGTTGTTTTCAACCTTGTTCCATATTGTGCATTTTGGTGTTCTACATTGGTACAGTTAAACTGAATTAAGTAATCTTCTTGTTGGATCAGACTATCCACAGGACAAATTGCTGTCCAGTGGATAGGTGTTGACAAAACACTGATGGTGATTTATCCACTGGATAGCAGTTTCCTGAGGGTCATTAGGTTATCATTTTTATTACTGTCAAATGTTACCCTCGTAAAATAAAGTCTTCCTTACTTACTTACTTACTTACTCCCTTTGACCAGCTGGAGCCTTTGACACTGCTCATGTGTTGCATGGCTAAATAACGACTTGCACATGTATGTTTATATGTGAAAAAATGCAAATTANAGCAAAAGAAAGAACTCGAAGAGAAGATCAAGAAAAATACAAATGATGTAAGTTGTTTTCAACCTTGTTCCATATTGTGCATTTTGGTGTTCTACATTGGTACAGTTAAACTGAATTAAGCAATCTTCTTGTTGGATCAGACTATCCACTGGACAAATCGCTGTCCAGTGGATAAGTTTTGACAAAACACTGATGGTGATTTATCCACTGGATAGCAGTTTCCTGAGGGCCATTAGGTTATCATTTTTATTACTGTCAAATGTCACCCTCGTAAAATAAAGTCTTACTTACTTACTTACTTACTTACTTACTTACTTACTCCCTTTGACCAGCTGGAGCCTTTGAGACTGCTCATGTGTTGCATGGCTAAATAACGACTTGCACATGTATGTTTATATGTGAAAAAATGCAAATTACAGTTGAACCTCCCGTAGGTGACCACCCAAAATGTCAAGCCTGGGTGGTCGCTTATGGGAAGTGGTTGCTTACGAGAGCTTAGACCATATTTGGCATTAGCATAAGGTATTTGGCATTAGCATAAAGTAACTGCAGAGACTTATCCATGTTTTACATGTTTTATTCATGTGAAAAGTCGATTTTGAGAAAAAATCTGACACTTCCCATTGAGAAATTTCCACCTCTTGAACATCTACTATCCAGGAATGTGATAATGTTCCAACGCCTTATTATCCAATTTTTTGCTCTATTTTCTGTCCATTGGTTGCTTACTGGAGGTTAAAAACAAATGAAAATTTTATTTTTTAGCTCTAAAAGTGGTCACAGTCACTTACAAGAGGTTTCAAATAATAACAGTGATTTGACTTAGAAAATTTTGGTATGTTGGAAAACTGGTCTCTGACAAGAGGTGGTAGCTTGCGAGAGGTGCTCGCAACCGGAGGTGCGACTGTATATGTACGTGTAGAAGAAGCACAGGTTGAGCATCAATTTGTCTGATTGTTCAAAATGAAGATAATATGCATTACCGGTAGTATATGCAGGCTACAAGTGCATATTTTGTCGACGTTGCTGTCATCTTCATCATTAATTATCATCCTTTGTTTAACAATGCAGGTGAAATGTGTTTTGTTTTTCTTTTAGATCAATCATCTTCGTACCCAGGTTAAGAGCACGGAAGATGAGAACGCTCGTTTAATTAAGGAGGGAAAGTAAGTTACTCATTGTACATAGTACTAAACTACGTGGCCGCGTAGTGGCAGGTCTAAAACACAGGTCATGGGTCACAGGTTATTATTGTTTTTACCAATACTGAAACAACCTTAAACCTTGACTTATACTAACCTTAAGCCTAAACATTGTCTTAGTGTAGTATTTAGGCCTAAGGTTAGCATTAGGAAGGGGTAAGGGTTGTTCCAGTATCGGTAAAACAATGACGCGTGACCTGTGTTTTAGACCCTAGTAAGCTTAAAACCCTTCGACTTTAAAGGAAGGTCTTGGAGGTCCGGTGCTTAACTTGACGTAAAGGAAATCTCGTTTGTCAATGAGATAAAAATGGTGTCGGGAACTTCTCAGGTAATTTGCGACTCCTGTGAGCTAAGCTTACATGTTGTACGCTAAACCATCAAGGATCTCAGGTTACACGAGCTTATCTCTACGCTTTAGATCTCTTAAATTACTCGTGGACTGAATTAAACATCTTTGGGCCTGATTGTGTACTTACATGTAACATATCCTTTATGATTACATTAAAAACATACCTCTGTCAAGAAGGGTAAAGTCAATTCCTCCGTGAATTCCTCCCATGAAGGATGAAAGCAGCCATGTTACCTTGTCACGTGACATTCGATTGCGGGATTCGGCTGCAGTTAGGTTTTTGTGGGGGTAGCCCTCGGGGTATGCTGTGAAAACGTAATGAAAATTACATTTTTTTTTTCAGGAAAGTGGCTCCTCAAAGAGCAGCGGTAAGTCACTGTATTCAATCGGGACTGATTCAATGCATGTATGTTTGGGGTTTTTAGATTATACGAATGTTGTTACAACCAAAACTAACTTTAATTTTCTTTTTCTCTGCATTTGCGTATTCCGCATAAACAGAAGAAGACCCTTCCACCAAAGGTACGTTATATTTTTGTCTGCCTTAACCACGTGATATGGCCACCATCTGCAGGAAAATTTGACAAAAACGAGAAGGGCCCGGGAACATGTTGTGAGAATGGGTGCGAGTAACCATGGTAACTATAAAAACCATGGAATATTCTGAAAAAAGGAAAGGGCTAAAAATTGTCCAAAAATATCTTTATTGGAGATACTTTCTTGCTTTAACTTTCGCATGACTGGCAAAATTGCTTTGAATAAAATTTGGGGTTTAGATTTAAAGTATCTTTAAGTGTTGCTGCTAAGAAACTTATTTTTAACGGCCTTCCTTTCTCGCGTTTTGTCCCACAGAAAGGAAACTTTGTAAATGTGGTGCGTAAAGCTCAGGCGGCTGCATGGGAGGAGAAATTTATGGCAATGAAGGCCAAGCAGAAGGAATCTAACAAGGTCAGTGTCATTACAAGCTGTGTTTACACTCCAACCAAGGCAAATGAGTGCCATTTTCGGTCTTCTTTAGGCTAAGCAACGAATCACATGCTGTTCACTGATTGGTCAGAATGTCTTCTGGTACTTTCACGACGATTTGCCAGAAACAGTTCTTGTTCCCAGTCCACCTCTGTTTTACCTTGTATTAATTCGTGGAAAACAAGCTGTCGATCAAATCGCGAGATTTCTTCTAGTTCTCGGTTAAAACTATCTTCGGTCATTTTCGACAAGTGCCGATGTTTCACGAAGTTTTTCGAGACTTCATTCGCTCGAATCTTCGAAAAAAGCGGACGTTAAAACCGTCCGGCAACAGACTTGACGAGCAGGAAGTTCCTATAAGAAGCCGTTGTGATGGAATGTGGATTAGAAGAAAATAAAGTGATCAGAAAAAGGTTCGTTGAACGGGCAGAAAAGATTTAGTTTTGTGCCAAATATTTCGAGTTTGTAGCTTTTAAATTCGTGTCCTATCAAGGCAAAGGTTGAGCTCTTTATTACAACAAGAGTTACGCGTAATTATTGACACTGCAAAATTGTTCTTGACAGATGAGCGAGGAGCTTATGAACAAAATGAACCGAGTCAAGCGCACAGACAGTCCCCTGTTAACCGGGCTCAAGAAGGACAAGAAGGACAAGAAGAAAGAAGAGAAGGAAGCCGCACCAGCCTGGGCCAAGAGCCAGCTGAAGAAGGGAGGCAGCAAACCCTGGGGCGAAGAAAAGAAGAAGGAAGGCGAGAAGAAACCCGACTGGTCAGGACGAGTGGCTCTTAAGAAGACCGAGAAAAAGGAAGGCGTAGAACTGGGCGAGAGCAAGCGCCAGGATTGGCGGGAAGGTCTGAAGAAAGCTCCGAAAAGTCCTGGTGTCGAAGGCGCTGGTGACCCCGAGTGGAAAGGTGTGAGCCTGCGCACAACTGGCCGACACGACGAAGATGATTAAACCTGAAAAACTTGTTTAGGAGTAGGTAGTCTTGCTACAAAAACAAGTTCTCTTAAAGCATTTTAAAAGCCGATTTTTTAGGCTCTTTTTGTATGAATTTTTTCTAAGCCCGTTAAGCCTTGCCCACGTAAAGAAATGTAGTTTAGTTGAGCCTGTAGAAGGTGATTCAAATGACCGCGAAAGGAAGTAAAAAGGTTTTTTTTTTCGATGGTTGGTTCCCACCCTCTTACCTCCATAAATATTTCTGAACACGGATATTCTATTTGAAAATTGAAATGGCAACTTTGGTTATAAAGTAGGTTAAATTCTCCTTACAAGTGAAATTAGTGCAGGTTAGACAAATTGCAATGTTGTAATGCTGGACGTATGCGTGATTCTCGTAGCCTCTTTCACTAATAATACATTGATGTCTTGAGGAGAAATTATGTGCAGATCTGTGGCCTGAGCGGTGAGCACGAATTACGACACGTCATTTATGGAGATGAAAGGGTCTTGTGTTATTCCTTCAAAAATTCGCCACAATGTAGTTGTATCATTTCGCTGTGGTTCGATCTACGACTGCAGTCATACGAGGTCGGAAGGAAACTGGGAACTCGGTATGGATAAGAACACTGTTTGGAATGTTATGCTCAAAATCACAAAGTTGTTGTTAGGCTGTGTAATTCATTGTTGTGTTTAATTGTCTTAGTTTCGCATTTTTATATTGTCCTGAACGCCATGAGATTTTTTTAAGTGAAAGATATTCTGTAATCGGGCTGCATTAAATGTCAGAATCATATCCTTTGTATGTTTTGTTTACTTTTCTATAATTCAATAAAGCTCGTTTTCTAGCAAACCACTGTTGATTGTTTTTGTTGCGTCGTAGTTTTTGGTCTAA